TTTTCAAGGAGAGTTAGAGATTTGGATGGAACACACCAATGGTTGTGTATGTGTCAGTGTGCGCGCAGTGTGCGAAAGTACGGATATAGATTGGGGCCCAAAGGTGGGTTCTCCCTTTTGGCCGCCCTTTCAGCCAAGGTGAAAGCCTTCAGAAGCAAACACACGCACACACAGATACACATCAAGAAGCAAACGCTTCGGTTTGACCAAACTATCCTTTGACCAAAAGCTGTTTCAGCAGCTTTTTGGTCAAAGCAGCACTCACCTGTTTGCCGGGCGTCAAAGACCGGTTCTGGAATTCTGTGTTTGAAGGGGAGCGCGGTTGGGGCCTTTTTGCGGGTGCTGGGAACTGCCATTTCGCCCTGGCAGCGCGGTTGGTTGGTCGGCAGCCTGGTTGCCACAAGTGGCGGTAGCCGGTGTGTGCTCTATATGGTTGTGGTTGTCAAAACCGTTTTGGTACCATTTTGGGGGTGGGTGCACCACCCATTTTAGTCTATTTTAGTGGGGATTGAGATGTTCACTGTGGGTATGGGATTTTGACCCATGGCCATATGTTCTTTGTGGCATTGCTAAAGATGCTGAAAGATCACTGTACACGGCATTTTCGTTTCCCTCCCGAACCATTTGTTTCAAAGATTTCTGGACACTAGTTGAAACTCCCTGCTGGTGCTCAGTAGGGACTGACCTTCCGGGTGTTGGGAATGAACCCTGGGTTCTCCTGAAAGGAAACCACAAAAGATGGATGGTTTTTGTTGGGGTCTTTCCATTTCTCATTCCCTGCCTATCCAACCAGCAAGACTCTGTCCCCCCCCCCCCCGGCAATGTCAGCATTGCGCCTTGAAAACAGGAGCGCATCGAAATTCACGCGCCTGCCCCAGAGCGCATTGGGGTGAGAGTTTCGTGGGAGGGCCTTGAAAGAGGGACCCCAAGACGAATTCTATGGGGCTGTTTCCTAAAACATGGCTGTGGTTGTCAAAACCAATGGGATACCATGTTGGGGTAGGTGATTTCACCACCCATTTTAGGACCTATTTTAGTGGGGATTGGGATGCTCACTGGGGGTACGATTTGGATTTTGACCCCTGGCCACTTTTTGGGAAGGCCAATTGAGTCACTTGGCCGTGGTCGTCAACACCGTTTTGGGATCCCATTTTGGGGTAGGTGAATTCAACACCCATTTTAGGACCGATTTTAGCGGGGATTGGGCTGTTCACTGGGGGTACGATTTGGATTTTGATGGCCACATGTGTTCTTTTTGAAACAAGGTCTGGAGTTCACTTCGCCCCTTTTGAGTTCTGGTTGTGTTGGGCCTCTTCGCAGACAACCCAGGGTTTTTGTCAGAAAGGGGCCGTGTTTCTGTGGTTCAAACACGGGTCTCCTTTTCCGTGGTTTTCAGTCCGACTTCTGTATATGGAGGGTTGCAGATGTTGCCAGGGAGAGCATATTCTATGCCAAAGGTGAAGGTGGACAGGCCCAACCAGAGGTGAAAGGATGTACACCCCTTTGATTCTTCACAGTTGGCGGACTCCTTCATTACCAGGTTTTGATTGACATGGCGTTCCAGTTGTTGATGAGCCGTTTAGGCACCGTGTGTGCTGATTCACCCGGCACCGCCTAGTTTGCTTTGGAGGTAGACTTCTTTGGGTTTGGTCCTGTGATGCAAAAGGCCCCCGTCGAAGAGAAATAACCGGGGGTTGATCGAAAGGTCCTTTACATGGGATGACCATCGGAAAACCACTAAACAAGATTATATTTCAACGTCATTGGGGGCTCTAAATGGAATATTGATCAACCCCCACATGTTCTTTTCGGGGTCGACTTTGAAAGGCTGTCCCTGGGGTCGGGCTCGCTTGCCTTCTGGTTTCTCTTTGAAGGGGCAGACTCATGGGGCAAAGGCGCCGTTCAAAACAAAAAGAACACTTGGTTGGTGATTGTTTGGGGTAGACTCCCATGGGTGGCCTTTTTTCTCTTTCCTTTCAACGGGCAAGCTCGTCCCATTCACGAGCGAACTGGTGTGTGGTGATTGTTGTTGGTTATTGTTTGTCATTGTGGCTATTGTTTGGCACGCTTCTCTTCAAACCTGGCGGATAAACCAATGAAACCTTCTGAGCCGCATTTCGTGGCGGCTGCTCGTGTTTGGGCAGCGAGGAACGGGTAGGTGAACGACTTCTTTGAGTGGGGTACCTCCCAAGTGGTTCATAGCTTTGTTAGCGACTCCCCGTCGAAAAAAAGGTTCACGAAGCGAGTTAGGTTCAACTTGAGAGTCGCTCAAGGCCCTCCTTTCGGTGCCTCGTAGCTTTCTTTGACTCGTGGGAGTCCACTCCTTTGAGAGGCTCACGGTGAAGGACTCCACGACTCTAGTCGCTCAAAGTGACCTGGGGTGGCCATGAATTTCTATAGGGAACCACCTCACAAGTAGTTGGTGGACATGACTCCCACCGAATTCTGATGTCCACCAAAGGGTCCCTAATCAAGATTCACACCCAGGTGCACTCCTTTGAGTGGCTCACCTATGAACGACTCCACAACTCCTTTGAGTCGCTAGTGACGTGAGGTGAACGGGCAGCTGTACTACTCCTCGGGGGGCGTGGTGCTTTTCACCTACTCGCGGCCCCGCACGCCCATCGTGCAGCAAGTGGTGCCCCCTGCCCGGGCTCCCAGAGTTCGGTTTTCATCGGCGGCGCCGGTTTTGCCGCGCTCCCTAGATCAGTCTCTCTCTCTCTCTCTCTCTCTCTCTCTCTGTGTGTGTGTGTGTTTGTTTGTTTGTTTGTTTGTTTGTTTGTTTGTTTGTTTGTTTGTTTGTGTGATTGTGTGTTTGTGTGATTGTTTGTTTTGTTTGTTTGTTTGTTTGTTTGTTTGGGTGGGTGGGTGGGTGGGTGTGGGTGGGTGGGTGGGTGTGGGTGGGTGGGTGGGTGTGGGTGGGTGGGTGTGGGTGGGTGGGTGGGTGTGGGTGGGTGGGTGGGTGTGGGTGGGTGGGTGGGTGTGGGTGGGTGGGTGGGTGTGTTCCTTCCTTCCTTCCTTCCTTCCTTCCTTCCTTCCTTCCTTCCTTCCTTGCTTGCTTGCTTGCTTGCTTGCTTGCTTGCTTCCTTGCTTCCTTGCTTCCTTGCTTCCTTGCTTCCTTCCTTCCTTCCTTCCTTCCTTCCTTCCTTCCTTCCTTCCTTCCTTCCTTCCTTCCTTCCTTCCTTCTCCTGCCTTCTTGCTTTCCGAAGATGAATTCATTCTTGTGGATATCTACTATGAGACGCAGCTCGTGGCAAAGCCTCAGCACAGACTGTTGTCATATCCGATTACGGGAGGCAATTACGCAAAAGAAGCCAAATAGTGTGTCCTGCGCCGCAGATGGGCCCACGACGGGCCACGACGGGCCACGGCCGGGCCACGACGGGCCCACGACGGGCTCACGGCCGGGCCACGACGGGACCCCCAGGCGGGCCATGACGGGCCAGGACGAGCCCACGGCCAGGCCACGACGGGCCCACGACACGGCCGGGCCACGACGGGCCCACGACGAGCCCACGGGCCACGTCTGGGCCACGACGGACACACACAACAGCACCGCACCCACCGACGAGGAGGCTACAGGCATTACTCCTCCGCTCACACCACGACCGCCACAACACCACGCCAATCAGCTCCACCTTCACAAGCACCGGGATCTTCACGGCCCCGACCACCGGCGGAGCACCTGCCCCTTGCCGACGACGCCGAACCCCCCCGGCCCGTGGCAGGGGGGGGAGGTCGAGGCAGGTCGAGGCAAGCGCAACCACCAAGCCCAAGCGCGATGTTCGGCGGGTTCGTCAACCTCGACCGAAACCTCGACCTCGACCACGACCGACCACGCCCGCGACGTAAACGAAACAGACCAGCCCAAACCCAAGCCACGCTGCTGGGGTGACTCAGCTTGATTTTGGCTAAACGTGGTGCTAAATCTAGCCAGAAAGGAAGTATGGCAAGGAAAGCCCCAAAAACGATCCTTTTGATAGCAAACCTTCAATAACAGTTACACCCAAAAAGAACCCCGGGGTGGGGTGGGGTGGGGTAGGGTGGGGCGGGGTGTGGCGGGGTGGGGTGGGGAACATATGTGCGCTCTGAACCCCGGCGGTTGCTCAGTCATCATGCATTTTGTTGCGGGCTTCACACACACGGAGACCCATCTGGGGACGATGGCATAGATGAGAATAGAGAGACCCCTAAAACGGCGGATTTTTTTCCAATCAAAAGGTAGTTAGGACCTCGTTACCAGAGCCACAATCAAAACCTGGGTAGGTGAAGGTTAGTAAGGGATGATCCGCCATAAATAGCTGCGGCCGCCTTCTTAATTCTTTACATGGTTCTGGGTCGACCATTTTTGTACCAGGTTTTGATTGCGACTCCAGTTGGTCAGTTCCAAGCCGACTATTTTCTGCGCTTGGAGCGATATTTCCCCCAGCACCGGGCGCCGTGCTCGTGGAAAACCGCAGTCCTTGTCCTACGCCGTCACGAGCAATGTGACCATCGTGGGCTTCAACTTCGGGTTGCTGAAGCGCGAGGTGGGAGATGTCGGGTGGCTGCGAAGTTCGTTTCGCACCCAAGCCACGGATTTGGTGTTTGATTCGATCCCCCTATAAATGCCAAGAAACCTTATGGTTTCAACTATTTGGCTTCAAAGTGGTTCAGGATTTCGTCCACCAGTATGTTGGAAAGTTGAGCTGCAAGGGGACCAAAGAAAAACCGCGATGTGTTTGTGGTTGGTCTTTATCCATTCTTCTTGTTCCTTTCTCTTGTCTGTTTTTTTCTTTGTGGGGGGGGGGTTCACCCAATTTTCCTATGGGGAACAAAGATGTGGCTCGGATTTGTCTCCGCGGTTTTTTGGGGGCTGGACGTTTTCCTTTGGGCGTTCTTAGAGGAAACCGACCAGCCGCCTCTGGTTTTTTGGGCGTGGGACTATTTGGAGACAGGCCCTGCGATTCGCCCGCAGCTGAGGCTCAAGTCTTTCCCGAGTCGCCTTTAGTTTGCAAAATATGCAGTTTCTCATCCTTCTCTTCTTCGGCCTCGTCCACGGCGAACGCCGAGTGAATGCTGGGGTGCAGATGACGGCCGACATGAAGGCTGGAAGGGGTGGCGTATGGAGGCGTTTTACCAGGTCTGTTAGAACCCCTTCTCCTACATATTCTGTGGAAAGGAGGCTGCACAAGGCATGTCGGATTCAGATCGCTCCAGTGCCTGCACCAATTCTTGTCTTGCTCCTTCTTGGGAATATGGCAATGGGCCCAGAGAAGACTTTCTCTGGGTAGTGGTGTGTTAAGGGGAAGTATCATGGTCGGTCTTGGGTGTGACCAAAGTGGGCCTTTTGGAAACAACGGGCTTTTCCACACCTGCACTTTGGGGCACTTTGCTTGGATGTTAGGACTTTAACTGATGGCCAACTAATGGGTTTTTCATTAAACCACTAAAAGTTGAACTTTTAGCAGGGCCTCGCAGAAAGCAACCGGGTGCAGAAGGCGGTCGCCCTTTTGCTCAGGTGGGAAAGGCAACCCGGATATAGGGCACCCCCGACTTTCGACGCGACTTGAGGCCAGACGGTCCTTCGAGGACGGGGCTTTGAGAGAGGCGGCTTTTTTCGAGTTGGAAAGGGAAGCTTGGGGGCTGCCAATATTCTGCCACATACATATATATATATATATGTACATATATATATATATAACATATTTTATATAGGCAGTTTCCCTATCCTTCTTTGCTTGCAGGCCACTCAGCTGCCCAAATGAGCTGGAATGACCCCCGAAACTGAACCAGAGGCAGCTCTCTTGATTCCCTACTGAGAGGCAGCAAAAAATGGCTTTCAGGCCACTCCTTGCCCAACTCTTGTTTGATTGTTGGATCGCTGGCGCTGCGTGGGAGAGATTTATATTGTCTATCCTTTGCAACAAATGGGGTATACCAGGGGTTTGTAAGGGTAAGAGAAGTGGATGTATCCCAGGGGCACATTGTAGTTTAGACGAGCTTCCCAATTTAGAACACGTACCACAGTGCACACGTATTTGCCATGAATTCTGGAAGCCTGGCGAAGATTTCAAGAGCTCTCTGAATTTCATTTGGGTGTGGAAGACCCATGTCGCTGGAGGAATTGCGTCCGTTTTTGGAGGGTACCCTTTTTAAGATTGGTTTCCAGGGAAGCCTCAATGGAAAGCTATGATTTTGGGGGTACCCTTAAAATAGTGAATCTTAATAGGGGCCTCACAAGTGCTTGGTGAACCTTTCAGCCCCACGGAATGCTGATGTTCACTAAAGGGTCCCCAAATAAAATTTACACTTGTATTGGTTGGGGGACCTTTCTGGATACCCGTTTTCGCCTTGGTTTCTCTGTGAAGCCAACATTTCAAAAGGAACAGCACCATTTTCGGAGGTCCCAGTAGCCAATTCTTCGCTCGGGGTTCCCAATTTTTCGTCATGGCCCCAAAGATTCGCTCTTTTCTTTCTTCGTCTGGGGTTCTTATCCAGCAATGGGCGTAAGACCCGCCCAATTCTCGCTCGCACATGTTTTTTTTGTAGGACCCCCAAATGGATTTTGGTGTTCTTTTCGGTTTCCCTCTAAAAGACCAGCCCCCAAGAAGGAAAACAGAAGGCCCACATTCAAAAGGTGTTCCTTTGCTTTCCCTTTAAGGCCCAAACAAGGCCCACATTCTTCTCCAGAAACCTGTCAAATCCCCTCTAAAACCATGTCAAATCCCCCCAGAAACCGGCAAAATGAATTCCCCCTCCAGAAACCGATTGATCACATTCTCGGATCGAGTTTCTTTTGGCTTCCCTTTGCCGCCAACCCAGGACGTTCAGCAGACGGAGCCCTCCGCGGCGCGGCTGCAGTGGGTCAAGGAGAAGCTCACCATCGAGCGGGAGGCGAGTCGATTGGGTCGGAGATGGCGAGTCAGGTCAAAAAGGCCTTTAAAAAGGGGAACTAAGAAGAGGATGTGGATGTATGCTGTGTAAAAACGGGTTGGGCGGGGGGAAGGGGGGGCAAAATGGGTGGGGGGGGGGGTGGTTTTAAGTCTTCCTTTTGGGTGTGTCGAAGGGATTCGGAGCTGCGAAAATGGTGCTTTTCCTTCTGGTGTCCCTTTGAACCAAGGTGAAACAGGGGTGCAATCCAAAAGCGGAGGTGGTCCCAGGTTGAAAAAGATGGTTTCCATACCTGGAAGTTTGCTTGGGTTCGAACATGTTGGTCTCAGTTTGGTGCGTTTCGGACGTTTGGGTGGGTTTGGGATCGCTATTGGAGCCAGCCCCAGCTGGGCTTGGGGGGCAGACTTGTATTAGATGGCGACTTTTCTTGGAGGGCGCTTGTCGTTTCCGCCCAAAACACAACAAGAGCAAATCCGAAAGGTCCTGAAGCAAGTCTCGACGCATGGACTTCAAGGGAACGAATCTGTCTGATTTGGGTCATCCAAATGCATCTGAAGTGAACTTAGGTACAAAGCCAGCGGTAGTCTATGGTTAGGAGTTGGTAAGGGACGATGCCTGGATCGCCAGTTGCGATCGCTTTTTCTATCCACTTTACCATCCAAAAACCGATCGCAACAGTGACTGAAAAAAGCGATCGCAACTTGGCTAGGTGGACACCACTTATGATTCGGGGTTCCCTTCCCCGACCCTCAGCGCGAGGTGAGAGCTGAGAGCTTTGCCTCAGGTCATCCAGCCATTCCTGCCACTCGCCCACGGCGTGCAGGAGGCCGAATGAACTCAGCCCTCATGTCCCAACTCCAAAAATGCCCCGCTGCAGTTTGCTTAATTTGTTTGGCGTTTGTTGCTGCATCTTCTTGTCTTTCTCCCCGCGCTCTTCACCCCAACAACGTGTCTTTTCTTCGGGTTTTGGGTTCCACCAGCTCCAAAACCCGGCTATTTCCGGGTGTTGGGGAACCCAGCCTCGCCGCGCTTGAACCGCCAGCCACTGGCGCTTTCATTCAGGCGCCTGCCGAGGGCCGGGCAAAGGTGGCCTTCATCTTTCTGACGATGAAGGACTCACAGCAAACCCCGGCTGGAGCCCTGGGCCTTTTTTTTTCTGGGCCCCCTTTTCCGGGGTTTGGGATCGGTTCGACTGGCTGCAAAACGCCGAACTGGAGCCGAAAACGCCCGGGGAATCCTGGAAGATCGGTTCGAGACTGGAAGAAAGGCCTGAAAGGAATTTGCGGTGCTCCTCGAAAGGGGCCGGGCCCGGTTCCTTTTGATGGTTTCCTTCAGATACCAACTGAGGGGGTCAGAAGGCATTTTGAGAGGTTCTCACGTGCGGACTTCGGAGTAACGGAGGGCTTTGTGCCGGGGTTTCCCTTGGAAGGACGTGTTCTGTTTGAGCTGACTAGGGTCGTTAGGATTAATCCGAATTTAAAGTTACACCCCAAGAACGGTTAGAACAAGATTCGCCAGGGCCCGGGTGTGCTACTCCCAAAGCCATGCTTTGAATGGCAAGTAGGAATTTAGATTCATTGGCTGCTCCGGTGCCCATTCAAAGAGCCGGAGCTCTGTCTATGGGCACGTGACGACGGACACGTCACCAGCCCGCGGTTTCATTTTTGAAGGTGGTGCGAGAACGGGACGGTCCTTGCAATGACAGCCAAGCAGAGCGGAACATTCCCTAAGCGAAGCTATGGGGCAGGGGGATATTCAGCTTGTCCACAAACGCAGGATAGCTACAGGAATGCGCTGCAGCTTATCAATAACTCAATACTAAGCTAGGGGCTTATTGATGGCTTGTGCAATGCTTATCCATACCTTATCACGAGCTTATCCGAAGCGGCTCTTAAGGAATGATGATGAATTCTAATTCGGCGCTTCGGCGCCAAAGGATACGCTCGGGAGAAGGAGAAGCAATGGATAAGCCATGAATAGGTCATCATTTTTGTTGTATTTTGCTTGGATGTTAGGACTTTAACTTTTTTGCCAACGAATGGATTTTCCATTAAACCGCTACAAGTTAAGCTTTTAGCAGGGGAGCAGAAAGCAACCGAGTTATAGTGCCCTTAATAAGCTGCAGTGCATTCCGAAGCTATCCTGTGCTCATGGACAAGTGGAACCCCCCCCCCCAGCCCGCCTTGGACTTCCGTAAAAGGAGGAAGGGGGGTGCACTAATGATCAACTCGCAGAGCATGTGGGGGTGTATACTCTTTCAAACTGGCAGCAATACAATGCCCATCCATATCTGTTTGTTGGGAGGGGGGGTGGGGGGTGGCGGGGGTTCCACCACTTTGAGGCAAAACCAATATTCGTCCGTTGCTAGGCGTTGGTTTTGTTTGTTCTTCTTTGTTCCCCTCTCGAAGCTTCCGGATCAATGGTTTCGTACCGGGTTGTAGGTTGACATTCTCTGCGGTACCAAATAAATCCGCTACGTGCAAAAAACAGCAATTAGTCACAGGGATGGGAATCCCCGAGAAAAACAGGAGAAGAAAAAACACCGTGTCAGGATTTGCAGTGGCCGCAGCTTTGGCGCGACTTCTTCCAGGACGCGCCCAGGACCGACTACTCCATCTACGTGCTTTGGCTCACGCGAAGGATGTGTGGTTACCCCGGTTTGGAGGGCGGCGCAAAGGGCAATGAACAGAGACCGACCAAGAAGAGAACAGGTGTACTCTTGGAGATGGAAAGGGGATGAGCTATGAACTTTGAGTCGGCGAGGGAGTGATATTCCTTCTTCAGAGTTGGACAACGCTCTTTTGGATGGATTTAGAGGGAACCCCCAAGGAGACTTTGGAGAAACACCCGAATGGTGGTTTCTAGCCGTTGGAGAAACATAGGAGTTTCTTGCACTGGGAACACCATAGAACACCTTCCGGTGATTGCGGGCTATCGGTTTACCTCATGCAACCTCCAACCTGCCTCGTCTGGGGTTCGAACAATCGAAGGGTTCACCGACAACGACTTCCCCTCTCTTGCCGACCCATTTCGTGGGCCTTGGAAAGAAGGCTCAAGAAGGGAATGAGAAGGGTACCCCCAGATTCACCCATTTACCCCAGCCGTGGGGTTTGTGTGCTTCCCCCTTTTTCTTGTCACCCCCCCCCCCCCCGTCCGCTTCGCCCCCCGGGCGCCGCATCTCCTCGACCGCGAACGACGTCGTTCGATCGTTCGAGGTGCACCGTGCAGCGCTGAAGGACGCGGAGCAGCGGACGTCCGCCGCGCTGCCGCTGGCGGAGTTTGGGGCCATCGAGATCCCGTGGGTGAGGCGCCCCGGCCGCAAACTTCGACGCAACGAGGCGATGTAAGGCGAGAAGACTTGAGCTAGACCGAAAAAGGGCAGGTGGGGGTGCCGAGCCAGTTCTCTTTTTTTTTTTCAACTTTGATGTGAGGAGGGGGAACCCCCTGAAAATCGACCCAGAAATGTTTTCCGCATGGCAACTGGGGATTTGGGAGAACAGCTCATGTGTGTATATGTGCGTGTGTGTGTGTGTGTCAAAATTAGGTTCCCCGAAACAAAGACGCACTCTCTTTGTCTTTTTTTTCTTGGGAGGGAAGGGTGGATCTGGGTTGCCTTGTCCCGACGGATGAGCATCAGGATTTTCGCCAGTTTGAACCCCGCAGAAGATTTGGGCGGGAGGGTCCAGAGGGCGCAGGCGTCCTAAAAGCGCGAAACCCAGCTCAATGTCCCCAGATTTCCTTGATGCTTGCCATGCGAGGGAAAACAGGCTGCCTGTCGCGAAGGTCACTCGATACAAATGAACAGTAAACTGGAATCAAACGGGACGTACCCTAGGTTACGAAAGCAGCTATGAATCCAATTTAGATTCAATCCATCATGGGTGTGCGTTTTTTCCTTGAGGGTATAATTTGTTTGATGGTTTTCGAGGGAACGAAAAGGAAACCAGGAGGGTGCCGTTGGGTAGGTTTTCCTCTCCGTCGTCTAAAGCGAGTCGATCGGATCTGACCTCTTGGTTTCCCCTTGCTGCTTCCCATTAGTCATGGCAACCCAAAAGGTGATCCTCAAGGGGTAAGGTAAGGGGGGTGATCCCACCTTGCTGCGATGATCCTGAAAAGGTGATCCCTGGTATTTCTAGGTCCCTAAGGGGCAAGTGAGTTTTGGAAGGCGTTTGTTATCACCCGAGGCGTTTGGTTTCGCGGCGTGGCTCATGGCCATCCTGGGTGTTCCAACCTTGGGGCGCACTTTTTTCCGGGGGGTAGAAAGTGTCCCTTACGCGCGAAAGGGGCGTTAAGGGGCTTCCGATTTTGGAAGTGGAGGGCTCCAACTGAGCAATGGAATTCACTTTTTGGTGGGTGCGCAGAAGCAACGAGATCAGAACACTTTCGAGGGGAGACCGCACGAATTTGCAGCCTGAGACAGGCTGGCGAAGATGCAGTTGTCCGAATCGTCCCAAACAAAAAAGAGGGTTCCTCCAAAACTGAGACAGACCCCCACGCGCGCTGCCTGCAAGCCCGAAGCGACAAGGTGCTCTTTTATGTCTATGATTTGGCTGTCCAACAAAGGGTCCAACCAATGAAGAAATCTTTGTTTGTTGTTGTTTTCTTCTTTCGGAGGCTGCATTTGATTGGGTCGTGCCCTTTCCAAGTTGAGCCGTGCGGTGATGTTTGAAGGTAGGTGTTTATTCCTTTCAAGCAACCCCCCCTACTGCCCGATTGCCGGGCCGCATGCTCGCCAGTGTGCTCGCTGTGCGCATTTACTTGTCTCCCCGTGCCTTCATTTGTCTCCCAGTGCCCGCCAGATTGCCAGTTCCCCTTCCCCCAAGCCAAGACTGGCACTGGAGTCGCAGTTCAGCTGCCCAGGACTGCCTGGTGCGCTCTCTTCGGAGTAGAGGTGGCAAGCTTCTACGCAGCCCTGCAGGCGAAGGGCTTGACGACTGTTCCCTCGTGGCATGTGATCGACAGCCCCCAGTGCTCGGAGCTCGGATCAAGCCGTTGAGATCTGAGGCAACCGTTGGAAGGAAAAATCGAACCGAACCTGTGACTCCCCTCCTCTCAAAGGGAGTTTTGGAGCTTGGAACCTCATTGGCGCCCAATGTGTGGACCAGGTTCGGCAGGGACTTTGTGGACCCCCCACTCTGCAAGAAAGTTAGCATTGGTCTCCCATTCTGTTGAGGGGCCAAGTCCACTGGCTATTTTATTTCAGCCTCATCGTGCTTTAACTCATGGGGCAGTCGGGGTGTGCCTGAGTTGATTTTTCACCCCTGGCAGGATCCCAACAACGTCCAGTTTGTGCTCGCAACTTGGATGTCCACGGCATCAGGTTCGCTCAAATGGGTATGGGTCAAGGTGAAACCATCAGGGGAATGTAGGTGCTAGTCCTTGGTTCGATTTGCCAAGGTTCCATTTCTGGTACCGTTTTTTCACCCCCAGCCAAATGTCCAAAGTCTGTGGTCAATACCGTAGGGAGAGGTCCCCAGTTTTGATACATAGCATACGAACCCTAAGCGCCAGTGGCGTGGTTGGTCGGCTGTTTGACAAGAGGACTAGTCCTGGAATGAGACTGATCGTTGTCAGAATTAGGGGGCCCTTCCTTTCGAGTTTCCGACAAAAAGGGAAGGTCTCAAAAG